TCAAGCGCAACAATCAATAGCACTCAGTACGGCAATCATACCAACTTCGAGTACATTTAATTTCACGGAACCCTGGTGAATTTCCTACGGAACCCTTGGGTTCCACGGATACCACTTTAGGAAGCTCTGCCTTTACCAGAGAATTTTTTTCAATTTTTAGCTTAAATTGGCCATTTTCAAATTTCAATAAGCTGCGTTGGAAATGATGACTAATACGCGTAAAGGTTCACACGATTAAATGCTAACTCTACTACAAACACTACACTCTGGCTTAATTTATAGAATGAAATGTATTGAGGTTTCCCTTAATAATGTTAGTGTAGATTCAGCACCCGAGAAGCATACCGAAGTAGAAGAAGATGAAAGTGAAGATGATGACAAAGATAAAAATAAAGACAAAATAAAAAAAAATAAAATAAAGATAAAGGCAAAGATCCAGGTGAAGAGAAGGATTAAGATGCCGATTAGTACTAAGATACTGACTAAGCTTTAGATTAGGGTTAAGACTACTCTTAAGGTAAATACAAAGTTTCACTTCTACCGCGCGTATTTCCACTGCACTCCTCGAATAAACACCAAAGCGTTTAACGTCTGATGCTTGCCCGAAAATTTCGCAACATAAATTCAAATTGTTCTTCTTTTGTAATCTAACAAATTATCTTAAATTTACGGCTTTATGCGCTTTTACACCGAGCTGTTGATTCACCGAGCGAGCGAGCAAGCAAGCACTGCAGCTCAGTCTAAAGTAGGTACCTGCCACGGTGGTTGCCATACGAGTACAAGTGACTTATTGCGACAGAGAAATCGCATCGCTAGCCACCCCATCCACCTCTCCGGTGGGTTACATGCAGATATCTTTTGTCTTACGTGCAGCCTTAAAGCTGCTTCTTATGCATTTCCATTTCCATTGTTCTCAAGCTGAGAGCTCATGTTGCATTTCGTTTCGTACGCTGTTGCACTTACATACATATGTATCTACTTACGCTTATTTTGGATGGGATTTTACATTTGTTGAAAACTTGCAATACACAGTTCAGGGTAACATGAAACCAGTATATAGTTGCCCTGATATTAGTGTAATATTCTTGTATGTATGTAGTATGTTGTTACTTCTTTGAAGAGAAATAGCGTAAATAAATCTGTGTAGTTGAAAAGGATGAGCAGCTCTAAATTTTATTTAGCTAAGCTAAGAGAAAAATGTTGCTTTTCGGTGATAGTACGTGCCGTACTTGGTAATTTGTGCGCAATTCCTTTGAAGAATATACTTACATATGTAAATATGTATGTATGTATTCAACTATTTATTTTCTTTACTTACTATGCATCTCAGCAGCATGTATCCAGCATTATTATGCAACATACGCATTGCAGTAACAGGGAAAGTTATTTGTATGCATCTCATTTTATTTAACAAATGGATTCATATGTATGTATGGAAAAAATCACTTATTACTTATCTCTTGTAGAAATCACTAAATTCACTCAGCAACAAAGTACTTTTTTGTATTCCTTCTAAGTTGTTAAATATTTACTCAGATATGAGTAATCAGCTAAGCGATATGTATGTGCAAATATACATGTGTATATACTCACATACACATACATCAGCAGCACAATTCGCAGCATTTATTTTGTTCACACAAAGCATCCTTCCGGTTCATTGCCTTTTTGTAGTGTAGGTCCAAAGCTAAGTTGGCTTATTTCCTCAGTTATTCATAGCAGTATTTGGTAAACCCCTGCAGTGCATTTACACTATGAACACACACTTGTATGCTATGCACACATTCTTACATATATTTTTATGGGGTATTCTTCGCCAACGGACGCCACTTTCACTCCAAAATTAGTTCAGTTAAACAAACATCGGTTAATCTCTTGAAAATTCGGTAAAAAAATTCACTTTTAAATGATGAGTAGCATTTTTTGGAATGCAATATGGCGGATCGAATATATGTAACGGAAAAGTATTTGAAAATTTATTAAATTCGCTCGAAAATTGTTACTATGAATCTGGCAAAATTTTAGAGAATTTATTGAATTCCATATATTGGATGGCGGAATTTTAAAAATGCATGATCATATTCGTACTCAGCGACTCCAAAACGCCCGAATAATAAATTTCATGTGAACCTTCTCATTTTACAAATTTATGTTCGCCTGAACCAATTTTTGAGAAATGATGAATGAATTTTCAAAAATGTATCTGCCATGTTGGTTCCGCCAGCTTGAATTTTAAAAATTTATGATCATATTCGTAATCAACGACCCAAAAAACCGCCGGGCAACAAATTTCAATTAAATCCAATAATTTTTTAGAAAGAATCATTCACCATTTAAAATTAAACATTCGTACCGAATATTCAAAACTAACTATAAGCGATTTTTTTTCATCTAAACCAATTTTGGAGAGGGTAGGCTTTAGTTGACGAAGAATGCCTCATATGTATGCACCTATGTATATTAGACTGCATCAGCAAAAAAAAGTTGCGGTTTTTCCGGCCTGATTACAAAATATATTATATTCTAAGACTTCTATCAAAATATTTCGGAAAAATATTAAGATTTACGAGAGCTGGACCGGTTTGAAAATATCTCTAAAAATGGAGTTTTTTATGAATAAAAATAGTTTCTTAAAGGATTTGTTTGAAAAAAATGCCCTCAGTTGACAAAACAGTTCAAGCTTAAAAAATCTACATATATAAAAATATTAAAAATTTGTATCAACGGAATCATAATAATGAGATTTTTGATGCTTTTTTTTACTTTTTTCAAAGATTTGTGTATGAAAAACTTGAATAAGTGCTCCAAAACTTTATCGATATAGACTTATGAGGTATCAGTGGAAAGGTATTTTCTCACCCTTTTTATTTTACCTCATAAGTCTAAATTGGTGAGGTTTTGGCTGAGTTATTCAAGTTTTTCTTAAATCAGTCTTTGGAAAATGTTCAAAAACAGCATCAAAAATCTCATTATTATGATTCCGTAGAAAATTTTTAAAAATATTTTTATGCAAATTTTTTAAGCTTTAACTGTTTAGTCATCTGAGGTAATTTTTTTTTCAAAATATTTAAAAAAAACTCATTTTATTAATAAAAACTAAATTTTTGTAGGTATTTTCAAATCGGTCCAGCTCACGTAAATCTTAATATTTTTGCAATATTTTGGTGAAAGTTTGAAAATATAATAGATTTTATAATTCCAGTAGAAAAATAGTACCGATTTTTTTTTTGTATGGGGAGTGATGCAGTCTAATGTACACATATTGTGTAGCCAAATTTCTTCGTCCACTTTTATTGACAACGGATATGTCCAACCGCTGCTCTGTTGCGTGGTTACATGCAAGTTCCGGCCACAAATGGTTTTCTTGGTTTTTCGCAAATTATTAAACATGATTTTTACAATCAACTATCACATATCGAACATATGTAATATTGTTATTGTGAACGGGCTGTGTTACTGTGTGTTGAACGGGCGAGCCTGACATTTCGAAACCGAAAATACCGAAGTAAAAGTCGTAGAATTGGAGACGACTACAAATTAGAGATGCATGAGTGTTATAGCACCTTGTCCGCGTGCTGGGTATGTGTTTGCCACCTTTGAGTTTAGCCGAGAGAGGTAACTAGCACCATCCGTACCAGAGCTAGGATGCACCTGCACGGAAGTTCTGATTTCTCAGTGTTGATGGGCGGCTGTTAACCTCATAGCACTAGATAGTATTTGCAAGTGCTAAGTCTCATTCTGACGGCATCGCTGTATACATTTTTCTTCTCCGCCTTGCCTGAAGAAATTAGAAATATCCGAGGAGAAGGCAGTTATTTTACAGCAAACGCTTGCACTGTTTTAGTTCGTCTTGCAATCATCTCCAATGCTCTCTAAGTTGAGTACAGCTGACGGGGCAGGGAGTTTGGCGATGAAAAGGTTAAACAGCGTTGGGGAGAGCACGTCGTCTTTGGTGGAACCCCAATTTGAATCCCCTTGGCATGAACTTAGCGTTTAGAAATTAAAAATAACGATTGACGTCCACAGAGATTGCTCGTTATCCACCGTATATTTCACCATATCGAATGCTTTCGTAAGGTCATTCATTATGACTGACTTGCGGGATATCGCATAAAAGATGTCATCTAAAGCATACAAAGAGAAAACACGCAGCGCAATACGAAATTTGTTTGTGTGCATGAACATCAGTCGTTAATATCAGTACCGCGTTTAGGGAGCTTCTATTATTTAATGAATTTGCAACATTTAGAAAATTTAAAATATTTATTATAAATGTTTCAGAGAGAATATACCACTGTTGTTGTTTTGTAGTACAAATATGGTACTTCAAATTGTCAGACGTCCGAGGTTGACCCAGTATTTGGGAATAAGGTTCACACTTTTTGCACAAAAAATACACAAATTTCATTATTTATGAATAAATAAAACAATAAACTAATCATTTTTTAAGCATAACTTTTTGCGAAAAGTTTTCTTGCAAAAAAAAATAAAGTTCATTAAAACTATGTTTTCATTACAAAAAAACTAACTCACTCGACTTTTCAATAAAATTTACTAGCTTTACATTTATATTTTCACAATTTATGTATATACAATTTCACTTAAATACTTACACCCTATATAAAAAAATTGCTAAACTTTTTACTAACATCAGCGTTCAAATAAGTCCTTAAACAATGTATGTATATATGTAAAAAAAATACCTGCCTAGTTAAACCAGATATAAAAGTGATTTGAAATGCTGAAATGCAATAAAAATTCCGCAAAAATTGTGCATACGCATACACATATATGTCGCCACATTATACATACTAACAAAAGCAAATGTAATTCACACTCCAGCGCCATACTAACACATTACCAAATTGTCCACTACCACGCCCACACAAAACAAAAACGCCATTTCCATATTTGTATTTCAATATTTAATATTCTTATTAATTCTTCTGCTTCTTTTCTGTTTTGAACCAACAACACAACCGTCCCACGCGCCCTTACAGGTGTAACAACAATGTTGAATTTCTTCACAACATCCAACGGTTTCCGCAGCACACTGCCCGTCGTCTCCAATCTCACCGCTATGAATGTGTGGGATGGCGTCTGCATGTGCTTCATCTATGCCTCGCTATTGGAGTTTGTATGCGTTAATTATATGGGTCGTAAGAGGCCGCAACATAATGCTGTCTATCGGCCAGGCGAGAATCCTGTCACACAGGTAATAAAAAAGTGCATAGTACATATGTACATATATAGCATGCTCACACACAAATTCGTCCAAACAAATATACATACGAAGACACATTCATTTTGTCTGTCAGACCTTTTCTCTCTCTTTATCTCTCTCCGTTTCTCTCTTTTTCATTCACTTTCCGTATGCGCATTACTCCTTTCATTTATTCATAGAACATTAAAAGCGACACTACTTACTTACCTTCATACATCTACATACATATGTGTATCTCTATCTCTGTCACTAGCGCGCATAAAAAGTAATAAGCGGGTTGAGAATTGCATATCAACTCAACCAAAAAGCTATGCGTAATGCAATACGAAAACAAAATAAGAGAATTACCTGTAAAAATGAATTGGCTAATCAAGGCATACGCATGCAAAATACTTACAACAATAAATTCGCGTAGCAAAATTAAAATTTCCATATAGAAAATTTGGTTATAGAAAAACAAGTTACCCAAAAATTTTGTTAAAAGCAATTCTTCCTTCAAAACGGTGTTCATTTCTACTTTTCATATTTTTTTGTTCTCTGTGTTTTCCCCCATTTTTTACTTTGTATGCTGTTATGTTATACATTTTTTTTGCCTTCAACTGGCGCTTTGTTTCTTTCTAACTCCACGCTATAGTACTTTTTGCTATCAATCTCTCTTTCTCTGTCTATGTTTTACTTGCTGTGTTTATTCGAATATCTTACAAAGCTCAATTACTGATTTGAAATTTGATCTCGTACTAGACCAGATTTTTCTATATGTATTTATGTATACGTCTCGAAAATTGTACTAATCTTTTTCTCTTTCTTGTTCGTGTAAAACGTTTTTAAACACTTTAAAAATTTTTTTACTCCGTAGTATTTTAGTAACTATTTTTAGGCTTGCTCTTCAAGCAAATTTTTCGTCATTAATTTTCACATTTCTTTCACTACCTTCTTGGGCCAATTCCTCTCTTTGTCAACTTCCTAAAAACATCATTTGTCACTTGCATATTCAAGAAATTCAAGCAAACGATTAAAAGTTTATTTCAGCACTTTTTTATTCTTATTTTCTTTTCTTGGTTTAAAATATCACCTTTTCCATAGTTCTACTTCAGGAAAAAAAAAATAATATTTAAAATATTCATTTTTCAATCAAAATTCTTGAATTTTTCTCTTTTTAATTTCTTAATCCAACTCTGAATTTCTGTCTGCAATTAAATTTTTTTTTGCAAAACCTTTGCAATAAAAAATTGGCTCCAAACTAAAAATTCTTCTATAAACAAAAATAATTTTTGTAACTATATTATATATCACTCCCTTTTCCAATGCCACTCTAAATTTCTATCTGAAATTAAAGCAATTTTTTCCAAAAACTTTCAATAAAAAATTTGCCTTTATTTCAAAATGTTTGTTTAAGCAAAGAAGGTTTTACATTTGGTATTTTTTATTATATTTTTTTAACAAAACCTTTTTAACAAAAAACTGACCTCTATTTAAAAATTTTTGTTTAAACAAAAAGCTTTTAAACATTTTGAATTTTTTTAGTATGTATATTTTTTCACCCGTAATTAAATTTTTTACAAAAATCATTCAATAAAAAATTAGCCTCAAGCTCAAAATTCATATGGCCTTATTCATAAAAAATAAAGCAGCTTTAAAAAGGGTTTATAAACTGAAAAATGTATGAAAACGTCATTTTATAAAGCTCTTTAAACCTACTTTATTTTTTTATGAATAACAACTGGAAATTTGTATCTATATTTGAATGGTCTTTACCACTTTTTTACGGGTTTTCAAAAAGAATTTAATTAGAAATTTGTTCAAAGTTTTTATGTTTTTACTATTTTTTTGTTACTTTATTTTGTTTTATTTAATTCATTTTATTAAAAATTTAAACTTTTTATATTTTTTTTATTTCATTTAAAAATTAGTTTTATTCTATTTTTTATTAATTTTATTTGTTTTTTTTTCTTATTTAAGTGTTTTTTAACTTGTTTTATTTGACCACTTTTCGGTCAATTTTTCCCCCAATTTCTGGATAAACGCATTACGAAACATCTACGGAAATAAAAAACTCTTTCAGTGCAACTCCAAATTTCTTCCTAACGAAAGAATATTTTTTACAACTAAAAAACTCTTTTATTTTCAAAATAAAAAAGTTTATTTTTTAGTTGTATATCTTTTATATTATTTGATATGTGTATTTTACGTGATAATGCCATTTTTTTGCCAATTACTAACCAAATGTGTCATGTTTGCATTACCTAAAAATTTTATCAAAAAATTCCATTTCTCTATGTTGTTGACTTAATTTCACTGTTGTTTTTCGTTGATATTTCATTATATAATTTCATTTGTACATTTGACGTTATTGTGTTCGAAATTAACCAAATTCTTATTTGTAGGAAAATACTAAAATGTACTAAAACTGTATCAAAAGTAGAAAACGTTTCTTAACCCTTAGGTGAAAATGAAAATCTGGTATGAATGTTAAATAGCAAACCTTGCAAATGTTTAGAGTTCGATTGAGAAGCAAAAAATGAAAGTCAGAGCAAAAATTTCGTATCTTTAAAAAATGTAATCTGTAAACAAAATTTTACCAAATTTAACTTCACTTTTTTCGTAAGAGCACTTGAAAAATCTTTGGAATATTTTTAGTTGCACTCTCTAACAACTTATAAAATGTGTAACTCTTTCTTCCTAAACTCTAAAACATACCAGATTTTTATGTTCATTTTTAATTTGTATCCCTGAAAAACTAAGTAAATAACTTTCGTTAAAATGTATATTTCCCCTGAAAATATATTCCCAAATTGGTTCGATGCGCTTCAACTCCACCTAAAGCATGGAAGAAGAAACAAAACGAACGTCCCTGCAAGAAATTCGTGCACTTCAACTAATAAAAAAAGAATATAAGAAATTTGACACCAAATATTTTAAGCAGAACTAACATTGTTCCCAATTTTCGTGATTAATCGCAACATGACCGATCGAGCAAATAATCGAGCAATCAATCGATTACTATCAGTAAATTAAAAAGCCAAGCAAAACCTGCATTTGACCAAGTGCGCTTGCCAATCAAAAAAATTAAAAATTTAGAACAAAATAATATTCTTTCCCCATTAAAAATGCTCACAAACTGACAAAAAAAAAAGATTTGTATGCATTTCGAAATTGTTAACAAAGGTATTAACCTAAATAGTGCTGCAATTTCAAAAAACTCAAGTATAATTTTTTCTATTAAAACAACAAAAAAAACTTAAAGTGTGTTTTAGTATGAAATTACTAGAATTATTTTGTGTAAATTTTTCCAGCGTCTTCCAGCGGTTCTAAGCAGGATTGGAGTAATTCTTGCAAGTCCTTTGGTAAGCTATATGAAAAACAAAAATAAAAAAAAAACAAAAAAACTTAAAAAGAACAAGAACAAAAATTAAACGCTCATGCACTGTACATAATAGTCATAAAAAACGCTAAGCAAAACAACAACATTTTAGAGGCAAGAAAAATATATATAAGTAAATTCTTAAAAAAAAAAAGTTATGAAAATTTGTATCAAAAAAAAAACTATAACTTTATTTGCAACACTTGCCCAGCAAAAATTTTAAATTTTTACAAATATAAATTTGTTGCTTTGTTTGCCAAACAAACTATCTATTTATAAATTTGGCGAAAATTTATCTTTATCTTGAAGCGCTTCATCATTGCCAACACCAACAGACAAGGTTTGCTTTGTTACCACCAACAACAGCATCCTCAAAGTCACAATCCTCATCAGCGCCTTCAGCAATACTTTTGCTTCATCTACACTTCATCTTCATCAACGCATCGTCAAAATCATAAACAACCATTCCACATACCATCGATGTCCATCTCGTCGACAGCCATCAAAATCACAGCGCCACACTTTTCAACTCGGATGTCCCGCAGTGCTGCAATTGCGCTATACGGCAACGAATGAGCATTCATCTTTTGTACACATACATACACACACACACACAGTCCCACCCACGCCACAATAGCTCATATTCAGCTCACTCATCTCAACTTTGGCACCTCTCTTGCCCCCTTCAAAGAAAAGAAACAGTCCTCTTCCACACCACCACCACTCGGCCACGAAACGGCATGTAATTTTCGCCACTACAAAGTCTCCATGAAAGTTTAAATCGTTTTATTCTCTTCTTAATTTTACTTAGCAAACAAAAGTACTTTTATTTACCGCTGGATGCATTATTCCAGTTATTGTTTTTGTTTTGTTTGTTTGTTTTGTTTTCTTTTTATTTCTTTTAGTTTCAAACTCGTTGTATAAATTCATTTTTAATCACTTCGTAGTTGCACGCTTTCGATGTCAGCTATGCGCTTCTTCCTCTTTTTCTGTTCTCAGTTCACAGTTGATGATGGCCTGGCATTGTGCATTTTGCATTTTATCGATTTTGTGCTTTTGGTTTTTCGATTATTCGATTAAATGTTTGATTTTTTTGTTCGATTCCTTGGCGCTTTCGTTGTATATTTCTTCGAAACTACGCATTCATTTATATGTATCTTTGAGATGATTGTATTTTGTAAAATTTTTTTTCGTGTCACACATACAAATGCATATTTCGGTTTTGATCGAAATTAAATAATAAATAAATAAATTAGACACGTAAACTACTAGTATGCCTGAAGTACAACGTTAAAATGAAAAACACACTTTAAGGTCACTTATAATTGGGAAAAATGTTAAGTATTCTTAAAAAGTAATAAAATATTAAATGCAAAATTGGTAAGAAAAAATATTTTAGTAACTGGAGAACGAATTGAGATTCTCAACGCAACCGCAACAACAGCGCTTCTTAGCTTGTATTATAGTTCCAGCTTTATACAAATTTCTATGTCCAAATAAATACCCAAAAATAGCGCAATATTTAAGTTTTGAAATATTTGTTGCTACGATTTTGTTATGTATGTACATATACCCCGATCTGATATCAATGCAAAAAAAAACTTGAGGTGGAAAAGAAATTGTACCCCCAAATTTAAAACCAACCTATAAATATTAAACCAGTGAACTAGTGCTTATGGATACAAAAAATAATTTCGTTGTATTTTTCATAAAGTTAATAAAACTTTTAGTTATTACTTTCAAGCATTCAAATATATTTAGAAAGAAATACCCTTTAAAATATAGCTTCACTACCTGCAGACTAACACAATTATTTGTTATAAAATAAATTTTAATTCAGGTCTTCTACAAAACATACCGTTTTAAAACGATATACAAGTTTTCATCAAGTAAGTGCTGCTGATTTCTATTCAGTATTTGTAACAAAAATTTAGGTTTAATAAAAGTACAATATAAACATTACTTTAAATAGGAAAATTACCTCGAAAAACTCGAAAGTATCGAAACATTTATCAAATTGTCGAAATTTGTATAAAAAAAAAATTTTTGAAATTCGAGCTTACTAGTTTTTCGAGTTTAAGGCTATTTTTCACAGTGAAGAATTAATTAACATTCGCAAATTACGTGGAGAAATTCAGTAAAAGGAATTTAGCTGCTAAATGTAAATTAACTTTTCACTGTGAAAACAGCCCTAAGGGAATCGCCCCAAATGCATAAATAATTGCCAATAGGATCGCTTATTTTTTTTTTTATTTAAGTTCGTATTTCATCAGTGTTCTCATTTAAAGTAACTCGTAAAATTTTGGTTTGTTTGCTGTAAATGAATTGTTAACATTGGCTGCTAATAACTATCTATATTTGTTCATTGTTTACTTCCAATGATTACTGTTTGCAAGACAACACGCTTTTAGAAATAGTACACGTAGTGTAAAAATATTATAATTGTGTTTAAAGAAAAAGTAATCAATGATCGTGGGAGAAGCACTGACGTAAGCAGATTTTGCATAATAATGCGTTCAGACGTTCTGCTCAACTCCATTAGCAATATAATTTAACCTTTGTTAGACGTAATTAACTTCAATTACGCTTTTATTTCCAGCAAAGCAATTTTTTCTTATCTAATTCAGTTTACGAACTCTGAAAAATCCTTGAAGGCATTTCTTTGTTCTAAGCCGGAGGCGGGGTCAGTCCTCATACACGAAACCAACATTCTTTTTAGGAAAAATGCGGTTAAAGAGGTGCTCCCTCTCTGTATCTATCTCTAAACCAAAGCGATCTAAGATGGACTGCACAACTTTCAAGCTGAAAAATTGCATATCCCCGACACCAGTAAAATTTTAGTTATTTGATTTAGAAACAAAGGTAAAGCAAGGAGGCATACATTTTGTCAGCCATGCACCATTTTTAGCAGTAGAATGCCCTCTATCTAGATCCAGCTCGATGCAGAAATGTCAATGAGCTTCAATGATAATCTAACTGGTTTAGGAAGCATTGAAAGTGATAAGGACGCATATGCACTAAAAAGGCAGGGGCTTGTTTGGATGAATCTAAAGCGGCAGCTCAGGTATTCCCTCTTGGATTGATCTCAGAGGAAATTGGCACGCATTTACTTGAACTGGTAAAAAAAAAAATATGTTATCAGATATACAAACAAGCAAGATATTTAGTTAGAAAATTTGTGGCATCACACAGAGTATAATAGAACATAGACTTCGGATACACTCGTTTAAACAAGTTCACATAGTGTTCATAACAATGCATCTTCGAAATACCGGCGAAAATAAGACTTATTTATAATATGTATTTATTTGAAACCGGCCATGGTTGCGATTTGGAAAAAATCTAGGAAAGTGTCCACTATTCAGGACCGAATAACGCGCCTATCTGAAGGTGGAATAGAAATACAAACAATTTTCCGCTAACTGATACTCTTCAAGGAATAAAGTCAGGGGTTTGTCGCAAGAACATTTGCCAGTTAGTCAACCCTAAAACTATCCACTAAAACGGATACCTAGCTAGACCTTGTGGGACTGAGAACAAAATGATTTCAGAGTTAGAGCTTTCCCTATCCAATTGATAAGATGCTTCATTCTCAGCTAACCCAGTAACCTAACCAACAGAAAGAATATGTGACTTGGACTGATAAACTTTTTTTAAGTAGTTAAGAACAAATGCCAGCCGTGGTAGCCGATGGTTAGGGGTACGTATTTCAACCCGGCAGAATCTTGACTCCTGCAACACCACAAAAAAAATAATCGCCCCTCGGCAGGCAATAGGAAAACTGCGAGTGCACTTTTTCCAATAAAAAACGATTTGTCCCTCAGAGGAGGCTTTAAGATGTGGATCTCACAATTTGTGTAACTCGAGACCAAAAACTGGGTCGATCGGCTTAACGAAGCTATGTATCAATAATTTGCCGCACATCATACATACGAAAAAGGTCACTGGAGATGGTATAACGCCGATACCGGTTTGTCTTCAAACCAAAGATGCAAAGGTATGTAGGAAATTCGTGCCAAAATGCATCATCCTCTTACGCTGCCGGAAGCATCAGCAGTCAAAAAGAAATCATATTCAGACATGTTCTGCAATTCACTTCCGAGTGAATTTCAATCAAATGCGCTTTGAATTCAAGTTGACAGGGGTTGAGGTCGTAAGCTAACCCAGTAGTACAGATTTTTTTTGCCAACAGGGTTAAGATGTTTTTATTTTATCTCGCAGTCATACTTAACGAACCAGGGCTATTAAACTGCGGACATCAAAATAATTTTACTATGGACTGATATATAATGGAAATAAGTATGAAGTATCTAATGTGTAGATACTTATGCAATTATATGTAGTAACAGAGACCCCTGGTACAAATACTTTTCGAGTTACAAATCGACTAATATTTATTTGCTTATTCAGATCATACCTAGGCAAAATGCTAAGGCAAACTAAAGCATAATTGATTATTATAAAAATAATAACAATTGCAATAATATATGTCAAATTGACCCAATGTTTGGAATCGACCTTTTTGGTTTTGTATGAATTTGGATCAGCACTTTTCTTTTATTATAAAACGAAGCTCTGCGAAAGAGAAAAATCTTAAATTTTTTGGAAAGCTATACAAAATTCTAAATTTTACAATTTGCGGGATTTTGAACATTTTTTTTCAAGTATCGCAAAAATTATTTTAATTACAAAAATGGTTCTGGTCTCGTTTCGAATGTGATATTTAGGGCTACAAAGAAAAAATATGTCAAAAAATTCGAAAAATAAAAAAATTTACAGCATTTCCCAAGGCGAATCTATATAAGGTGGTGTTACTAGCTCAGCTGATTTTGTGTATGTGTTTCGCCGCACGGCTTCTGATATCAAATTGAAAAAATTTGTTTGAATTTCTACACACACTCATACAGATTTTGACAGTTTATGCCGCCAAAGCAAAAACAAAACACATGTAAATTTTTGTTTTTGTACTCCTGCTATCACCTTATATTAATTCGCCTTGGCATTTCCAAATTATAAAACTCGTAAAAGCAAACACTTGCACAAAAATTTGTCTAGCTTTTTAAAACAATACCTCCAACTGACGTTAAAAGATCCTGATATTTTCAAGAAAGTATTTTTTCTTAGATATGAGTTTTTCAACTTAAAAGAAAAATGCAAACTAAATAAAGTTATGTTAACACATTTTTATTTAATTCAAATATATTTTTTAAACAAAGATTGGGATCTTTTTTTCACAGTTCAAAAATTCTTATGTATTAAAACAACATTGACAGTTTCAAAATCTTTACAATTCCCCTGTTATAGGAAAAAATTTATCAAAAATTTATATAAGTTTTTGCGTTACGATTATTAAATTTAAAATTCTGTATTTTTTTTTTTTGTTACATGTTTATAATAAAAATTTTGTTAAACTCTAAATAGAGCTATGTTAAACAATTTTTATTTTTTTTCAAATTTATTTTTAATTAAAGGTTGGAACAATTTTTTTTTTTAATTCAAAAATTTATATTTAACAAAAACGTCTTGAAAATTTCCGTTTGTTTTAAGATCAGGGAGGGGAATTGTATAAAAAAATTTTACCAAAAATTTATACACAAGTTTTTGCTTTATGATTTTTGTGTAATATTTTTACAAATATATTATTTTATATACCCCCAAATATCAACTTTAAAACGAGTCAATTTTTGTAACAAAATTAAATTTTTGAGTTATTCAATCAAAAAATACTTGCAAAATTGTGAAAATTGTAACTTTCGAAAGATATTTTTTTTCATTGGCAGAATAAAATATACTTGCAAAATTGTGGAAATTTTGAGCTTTCAAAAAACATTTTTTTTCGACCAAAATTCACCCAAATCAAAACATGGTCGATTCGAACCATTCGTCAATTTTAAATGGATTGACCCATGTAAATAAATATGTACAACACTCCATTCGGAAAATACACCCCATTTTCTATCCTCGATCTAGTTACTGCTGGTCTTCGTATGATTAATGTCTGGCTTACCGCCCTTTGTACCTAATGTTGCCATCGAACCTCTGCAAAACTTCTTCCTATTTTGTTATCAAACGATTTAAGTGATTTTGTGATAATTCTGTCATAAAAAAATATTAAATGTACATATATACTTGCCTGCATGGTAAAACTACTAACACCCTCAACAGCGATATTTTCTTTCAACGCAATAACTGAAACAACTTCAACAGGATATATGTATGGAGTCCCATAAGCCTTCCCCCGAGACGCTTGCTACTCTACTCAACCTTTTCCGTAATTTCACACAAACATTATTACCCAGATTTCAGATTTCAGTGCCTAATTCATGCCGCCACAGCCGCAGCTTTAAATCATTCAAATTCGAATCAATCCAACACTCAATCAATTATTTGAAATCCATTCAAATCCAAATCCCAATTATATTAGTATGTGTACTAAGTAATAGTACCAAAATGTAGGGCATAATCGAACGAGAATTTCATGCTGCTTTGTCGTCTGAAAAGGCCACGGCGGGCGTAGCATCGAGCAGCACTACTACGGGCACCAGCATACCAGTTACGCCTACACCAATGCATCCCTACCACGCTGAGTTATTATCGCCGACTCCACAGCCAACACAAACGTCGCCGCCACCGGGCATGAGCGCAGTTGACGCGCCACGTATACGCTGGGAGGAACAACATGGCGGCATAATTGGTGTCGCCATGCAAAATTTACGCGCGCGTTCCATACGCCGCCGCACGCGCTCACCGGGTTCAGCTACATCGGGTGGCAGCTCCTATGCAGATACCGAATCGGGACGCGCCAGAGCGCCAACTACAATGTCCACAGTCGTGGAACCGGTTTATACGGAACCTACTTTTGTAGCGACAGCGGCCAGCGACGGCGCGCAAGAGCCTAAAGTCACCGTCGTCGAAGTAGAGCCGCCGATAGCTGCACAGCAGCAGCAGCGTCGAAGTATTTCTACCAATACGCCACCGCTTATTCAGAGCATCAGCAGCAGCGGCGTCGTCGGCGGCGGCGGCGGCGGCGGCGGCGGCGGCGGCGGCGGCGGTGTCAACAAGCAGACTGAAGCAGAAGATGCTGTTAGTGCTACACACACAGAAGCGTCTACGGTGGAAATGGCGGCCGACGCTGATGACGGAAAGGAGCAGCCAGCGCAGCAGGCAGCGGGTGGTGTAGCCGACGCTAGCGGCCATTTGCCGGTGAAGCCACCACGCCGCAAGCCTTCGCGCTCCAGCTCACCAGTGCCATTCTACGAGCAGGTGCAAGAACGCGGCACCAACGGGCTGGGTGGCATGCCGGCCGAAACTGTAAGTGAACTATTTAAACCTAAGCTGTTTTTGTTATACCCAAAAGAAAACCAAAAAAAAAAGGTCAAGTGTTTTCGCTTCTGTGCGACTTACGCATGCAATACAAGAAAAGTTAACCGCTAAATACAATACTAACCCTTGAAGTGAGTTTCATGATAAGGCGCTTAATTTGATTTTAGTAACGATTAAAGACTTAACAAATCCGCTGGCGCATCGCCAATGTCGCTGCTCATCAAAAAGTTTGAGTGCTCTGTATGCTCTTTTTCCCTTACCTCGTTTTGTCGTTTTGTTTGTGTGTTTGTGGCACAAGACAACAGCAACTAATTCCTACCACGCTGAATTGTTGACTTTTATGAGGCTTAAGTAGGAGAATTAAATGCTTATCTGCTAAACAAAGGATGAAAACTATGCCGAAGCAAAAAGAAATAGAACAAGATTGTGCGGAAAGTAAGCAAGCAATTGAGAAGTGTCTATGGATGCAGGTAAGCAAGTGAAAACAAAAGATTTATTTTAATGATGGCTTACTTGATTGACTAACTTTGAGCTCGTTTTTTTCATTTTGATTTGCATTTGTTTAACTCGCTCAAATCAGGGTTTATCTGGTGAGACTTCTCAGGATATCATACATAAATACATATTTTGCAATTAAATAAAACTTTAACAATAAAAATTCTTTTAAAGTTGAACTCGAAATTTCTGATCGAATTCTTCGCCTTGCTGTGAAAGGCTAGCCAAAGAATGCTTGAGCTACGCCTCCAAATGCCAAATCATTATTTTGAGTAGATTTGGAGGCTGTTTTTGCTCTTACGTCCATCTCTTAACTGGCTCCTGCAGAGGCACTGCTTTGAACCAGAGTTTGCAAGTTTAATATATGATTAGTTTATAAGGTTTAAAAGAATAAGTCACCAAACGTCGGGCTCAGATTTCTGGTAGTCTATGAGACTTTGATATAAAATCTGTCCTAAGCCGGGGACCTTACACTATTTTGGTGCAGTGAATCGGTCTTTATCGTCGCCAAACTTTTTCTCAGCGCGATTTCGCTCTTCGCTATAACGCCCAAGTTTCGTTGTAGAGAACCAAGACTACCTGCATCGTTTTTCGATCCGTTTGCACCGTAACGACTGCCTTCCTGTCGAATGATGTGACCGGTGTCCAAGCCATCGCCCTATGTCGCCATGTCATATCTCGAGCTTGAACAACTTTTAGACGAGCTCTTTGCTATACTTAAGGTGTTTTAGTGATCGCTGGCTTGTTGTTTACAATAGGTTCGCTTTGCGTACAACTGCAACAAGCCAGTGTCAGTACCTGAGGAGTAAGCATCTATGTAGATTGTCTTTCTTCACTTGTAGTGGCTACTTTTGTCAATATGGGTTTGTCGCTCTTCCATTGATACCTTGGAATCCTGCCGTCTTCCCTGTTTTTATTTTTGACAAATTTGTTTTACGACCCTTCGCAGGTTGTTACTCAGTCTTCCTCGACCACTCGTTGGCACTTTGCAACTTACGCCTTTGCATATAATTCGATGTCGGAATACATAATTATCGACTCCGCCTGTGGAATTCCCCCTATCTGCACGAAGTGCTTTGGATTCTCACTGAATGATGAGGTGGCAAGACGACGGTAGGTATATTGGGTATGGTGGCTAGCTTTAAAGGGGTGGGATTTGGAGAAACCCTCGGCGCTACTACAGGTTATACGCAGCAATCCCACGCATTGTTGGTTGTCTAGTGAACTTACTGAAAGAATTCACACGACGCTCTCAGTTCGTTCGACTTGAGAGGAACTAGCTTTCCCATATCAATTCTAGTTAAGCCATGGGTTATTGGTTCTGGTGCCACCGTACATGTCGAAAAAGGGTAGTTCGCGCGGGTGGAGATTTGCTGTAATCTGATAATATTTACCAGCTACGGATGTCATCTAGTTTCTGAAGGACTCTGTTCGCAACTGAGCTTTATTGAGGGGACCTGGCTGACGGATTCTCGGTACAGGTCATAAGAAACCTTCATTCGGCTCTGAAATTAGAAGCGAAGAGGTATTTGAGCAAGGAGCTCGGTGGAGATGGATATGTAAGTTAACTTAAATCGACTGCGTCGGCTTTCATCTGAGTACCGAAGAAGCTTTTAACAACGCACTCCCAGAAACGACCGTAAAATCACTGCTCCATGTTGAGGAATAGCCTTCGCACTATTTTGGAATCTAACCGTGAACATCCTACACATGCGCAAGCAGGGCACTGGGTAATAACTTCAACTAGTTATTAGATGCAAATTTTTATCGAACTTAACGCGGACTGAATGCGAATTTGGCAAAAACCCAGCCACGGTTCTCTTTACGAGGGAAACTATGTAATATTACCAGCCAGCCAATGATTTCTGTTACGGCCCACAGTACAAGAACCCCATATAAAATGTGGCAAAAGCTAGTATTGGTGATGCGATTTTGCTATAATTTTGTATTTGTAGTATTTTTGCTTAGAGATGAAGATATCTGAGAAATGGCACATATTGAAAAACTGCCACGCCCACTTCAATTGGGGGCGGAAATGGTAAATGTTAACCGATTTTAATGAAATTCGATTTGTATCTTAGTTGTAACTATGAAAAAAAATATCTGAAATATGGTCAAAATCGGCCAAAAGATGAAAACCCCCAACCCTTGTATACTTTTGAACTTGGGCTTTAAAAGCAAGAGCAAATCCAACAATAACCGATGACTCAACTTCTACGGCTGAGCCCTTGAAATGTGGGTTCAAATTTTCACGTAGAAATACGATTCATACAATATCGACTTCCTGTCCCTCAATACGTGTTAGTAGACATCTTTAGTATCTATTCATTCCCTTAGTTGGATCGTTCGACACACTTCTAAACTTGGACTCTCTGACACCCTTAGACCACTATGCGGCCTTTTGCTAGCGGAGGTTGCTAGACGCTCACTTTAGCATTGGTTCTTTGACTGACTGGCGTACCTTTACTCAAGAATTCTTGCTGTTTATTAACAAAACGAATTAACCACTCAAACGGTACCATAAACTGAACTAATCTGTGACAGATGCAGAGCATAAAAAAAACACTTTTTACAAAAATTTTTGTCTCGAAAAAATCTATAGGATGCTCTAATAATTTTCTAATGAGACTCAATGAATTAAGGGGTTTCGCCAACCTGACGGTCAAAACAAAATTTTTTTTAATTAATTTTTTTCTGAAGCAGATATGAAATTTATAAAAAAAACTTTTATTTCACATACTTACAATACAAATGTGTTTAAAAATAATTTAAAAAAAAAAGTAAAATTTAAACTTTAAAATGGCGTAGATGTGAGTCATCGTTTAGCCCTCTCTTTTCCAGATGGTGTACAAGGTTTCTTGATTTTTTTTTTTTATTTTTTTTTGCAAAATGGCAGTGGTTTGACGAAAACGACATGCATTTTGATGAAATGCTAAGTTTTTTAAATTCATATTTTAGGAACAATGTTATAAAAATTTCAACCAAATCGGTCCAGTAGATCTTAAGATATCGTGTACACTAGGATGGAGCGGAAACAAAAAAAAATTGCGTTTCCAAATTTTAATAAGGGGGTTCGTTACCTTTGGCCGTCAACACAATACCCCTAAAAAATTTTTGATTGAAATTTTGAGATTTTTATAAATCCTAAACAAATAGCGTAATTTAACCAAATTATTTTTAGGGAAATTCTAAGTATGCAGTTTTGAAGGCCATTAAATTTTAGAAGTAGCATTGATTTTAAACGATCTATAATTTTTTTTTTATTTTTTTATAAAAACATTGTCGAACATACTTTGTATGGAATAGAATGCATAACACTATAAACGTGAAAAATTTCCAAAATTCAGCGGTATTTTGTAGCCACTTTATACTTGCACTTTCTTATACTTAATTTAATTGCCTACAAAACTGCATACCTAGAATTTTGACAAATTTCTTTATTTGTTTAGAATTTACAAAAATCTCAAAATCTCAATCAAAACGGGCTATTAAGTACAAAAAACAAACTTTGTGTATTCTATTGACCAGTCAAGGGCAACGATCAGCCGCCATTCGAATTTGGAAACGCAGTCATTTTTATTTTGCTACAATTGTAGGCTAGTATGTTCTAAAAAATTATTGTTTTTGCTCCACCCTAGTATACAGCAATTTGAAAAAAGTCATTTCGAGAAAAAATTGACCGCCTTTCGACGCCTTTCTACCACTGCTATTTCTAACAGCTGTAGCTTCTTAAATGCAGTGAATTTCGAAGTGAGGAAACGTTTAAAATATTCTTAAGAGTATATAGAATTTTTAAGCGAACAAATTTTCCATTTTTAGTTTTTTTTTTTTGGTGGTGTAACCCCTTAATTGCACACATTTTTTTTTTATTCAGAACTTGACTTTACTCCGAGGACCATGAGTGGCTTTAGACTTTCAGTGTTTTTTTTTTTAATTCTCATTAAAATTTTCATTTTTTATTGTAGGCATTACATAAATGTGAAATAAAATTTAGACGTCTTATTTTATATTTGTGTTTAGCTACAATTTTCTTTTGTCAATCATTTTTAATGTCATCCACAAAAAGTTTTGCTTCAAAATAACCCGTTAATAGTGAACATTTATAGTAACTAAAAGCTAAAAAGTTTTCATAATTAAGTACTTAAAATTATCTATAGTAAATATGTATGCTATTGCCCAAATAGATCTTTTGGTAAATGTTTAGAAAAAAGTTGCAAATAAATTTTTCCTTTGTTTAGATATTTTTCAAACCTTTCTAAAATTCTTCTAATGGTTTCATTATATTTTTATTTTATTCTAAAGCCTTTCATTGTTTTTAGCTTCACTTAGCAATTGCAGTTTTTGCTTTCCAACTACATACATATAGTGCATTATTAGCCTCATTAGCTAGCGGCCAAACAAAATATGCCACAATGCGCATAATTTTTTGACATTCACAAGAAGTTGTCACATTCACAGAAAACTTGTCACATTCACAGAAAACTTGTCACATCCGTATTCCTAACCAAACACCCATTAACATAACTAACCGCTCATCAAATCATGCAACCTTACGCAGCAAACACTCACACAAAAACACTTCGGTATGCTTTTTGCGCCATAGACAATTTGAGAAAAAACTAATTTAGCATATTCAAATTTATTATTGGGTTAATAAAATAATTACTTACACATTTTGTTGTAAATTTTTTATATATAAAACTCGCGCTCTAACGCCTTCAAATTAATCATCACCACGCCAAGCAGCTCATATTACATTTGATTTTAAATAAAATTGTTATACATACAAATTAAAATTTAAGTAATTAGCTTTCAAACTAAATTTATGTGCATTCGAAACAACTGTATATTTTTGTATGTATTCGTACATGTATGTTGAAAAATTTTTAATTTTGATGCAAAAAATTGGCAACAAAAAAAATTTCCACACAACAAAAACGCATAAAAGATTTGCTTGAAAATGTTTATCAATTTTCTATTTCTCATCTTCTAAACGCTGCCGCCTTATGCATTACGCTCAAACAGCCGGTAAGTACATATGTAATTGCGCATGTCTGTGTGTATGTAAGGCTATTCTAGAGTGTGTAGTATGCTTATATTTGAAAACGGGCATTTGATTTCATTGTTACTTTATTAAATGGGAGATTATACTGGTTAGCCTTAAAGTAGACTAACTACACAAAAGTAGAGGCAGTACGCCATGTGGAAAGAGAATTTTTTGTAATGAGATTTTTAAGACTTCACAGTTGTCTTATACAGAAAAATTTATTTAAAGTAATGGCGGCCGCCAGAGACTCACAACTCCTAAATAGTCAATTTATTTATTCAGAACAACCACTGGAGTCCAAAAAACTAGCAAAATTGTATGCTTTTATACTACTCAATACCGCACAACTACAGGAAGATCTGTCCGCTCTTTCTGCTGGTTTTAATACGACTACGATAGGAAGCATTATAGTCCGGTCGTATTGCAGCAAGGTGAATATGACAGTGCATCTAGGAAAGTTCAACGCGTCCAATTTAGTTAAAATGGAACTGCACTTTAAGCGCCAGGCCGAGCCGCTCCGTGCTAGGTTAGGTTATGCTGAAGTGGCTGCTGATGGCCACAGCTGCACACTTAGGACCACAATCGGACACATTTTGATAGCGTAAAGGATCCAGGTTAAGTTCGGCCAGTAGTGTTGCGTATATTGAAGGCCTTAAGTTGGTGGTACCATCTCACCGTTCTAGCACGCAATGCCACATTCGGCAGGCGAAAGTTCGGTTGCCAGCTCCCATTTCGGCTATCATTGTTGTATTTCTCGGACCTTCGTGGTCGCCGAACTTCCGCACTTTGTATCTCTGTTGTGTATTACAACTTTAGTGATCTTATAAGGGCTCAAGAATTTTGGTCTCAACTTGAGACCGGTACCATACCGTGTGCGCTAAATGGCGAATATGTACTTTACTACATCCTTCCGGTTCTTGTTGCAGGATCGACGAGTCTCCTGCTGTATCTTGCAAATATGTGTGTATTCTCTTGTGCCTCGTTTCGTACCTCCTCCCACTCGGTGTCCAAATATCTGATGGCAACATCTTCAAAAAAATGCTGTAATTCCGGAATTACCTTAATGCGCATCTAGACACGGGTTGAAAGTCTGAAAGATGATGTCTTCGTGCTTCCAGGTAGCATCGTCTTGAGGGACACCGGTGGCTATCAACAGATGTGGTATCCCTTCCTGCTCGCAGTATTCTCTAAAAGCATTAGACGTAAACGCCGAGACACGGTCAGTGATGATTCGCTAGGGATTTCCAAATGGCACTGCTCACCATTTCAACTCATTGATCACACCCTCCGCTGCTGTATTCCTCGACACATAGAGCCACACAAACTTGGAGAAGGCGTCCACTACCACGACAATGGCCCCAGATTCTTGGAGTTGAAGAATTTGAGCAATAGCCTGCTATGTATATCGAGAATTCAGACAGTTCTTCGTTTTTGCAGCAGTAGTCATCGTAAGAAGTCATTAAAAACCCAGTTTCAAGCATTTTACTTAAGACACCAAAACTCTCCGCGCGCCTCCTTTAAATGATGTGACTTGCCAGCGGACCTGTGATCAAGAAAATGTCTCTTCTGCTCAGCGTATGGAACTCCAACAATAGTCTCATTTTCCATTCTGGTCAAACGATGTTCGACGTATTGTTGTTGTCCGCATATTTCCACTAGCAACGACTGCTAAGGAGCAGAATTCCTTTTACTTTAAGCTTTTAGATTACGAGCGGCACGCCCATCGTCTTCCGAGATGGAGAAAGTGAAAGCGAATTATTTTTCATATAAGCTCGGCCACAATCACATTGTCGAAAATGTCACGAAGACACCCATACCAGATGAAGACTAAACTGCGTTACTATCAAGTTAAGTGAGCTACTTTCCGCAGATTTCGGAGCTATTAACTAGTGCTGTCTGCCCGGCTGAGAAAACCGTAGATAGTAAATAGCTTTCTAAATATCCGCAATTGCGTCATGGAAGACACTGGAATGGTCTAGTTGGCGGAACAGCTTGTGTTGTCGTAGTTGTTTATAGCACACACCTCCGCCGATGTTGAGGTTCAATAGGTCCCGCTTTATCTTTGGCTTGGCTGTCAAAAAAAAAAATTGAGTATTTCTATGGCCACAGCTTTCAAGCCAGTACCAGAACCTCGGTCTAAAAACAGTTATAGAATTAAGAGATCACAAAGACCTTCCCTGTTGAAGAAAATTTGAAAACTTTACCGAGAAGAATATGCTATTGGTTTTTTATTTATTGAGCTTGAAGCCATTTTTAAATGAAAAGCGTCAGACTTCTTCATCGAGTTCACTGAGATTTATACCTTGGTTATAATGCACGGGGCGAATCGTAACAAATCGCGGCGAATTCGTAAGGATCTATTGATTTTAGATGCTTCCATTTTACATTGCCTTCAAGTGCATTATAATCGTTTGAATTCATTGCCCATACAATAGATAATTAAGTGACAGCTCCCTCCGTTCCGTTACTTCCATTATAATCCAGGCATTAAACTCGCAATTTCGACGTTCAAAGCTAGTATTCTCACCCACTGAACTAAATAAGTTCGCTAGGTAAACTGTTGTTTGCTTTTTCCACTTTTTCAGTTGGTTGACTACAAACGTTTGCTCAAAAGTTTTTACCTAAAAGTATGCAACATACATAAGATATTCAAGCAGTTCCAACTTTTTTCATGGTATGTGTACAATTCTCAACTGAATTGTGAAATAGTTTATTGAAGACAAATATTCCTTGTGCTGATATAAACTCAAGGACTCTGTAGACCGACTAAGAAAGTACAAATATGTGCGAGCATATATGGCCGTTTCAACCATGAAAAATACAATATCTCCATCTTAGTTGTTTCCTATGCACAATCGTCTAAGGTCTTATTGCATATTTTTCATTTGTGTCATTACAAACATAACAAAAAAATGCTGTTGATGAGGTCTTCCAAACTGCGCAAAAACATCTGAGTCTCTGATTTTCTTAGCACACCAAGTTTGTGTAGGACGCATTGCTAAAGTCCAGCAAATGTCTAACTTCAGTGTGGAAAACTGGGCTGCTCCATTTGAATACGAATGTCAAACGATACGGATAAACTTTGGAAAACTGACTCTGGAAACTTTAATTGTGTTGGTCATGAGTAGGCTTGTAGGAATATAAAGGTCTCTTTGGGCTCTGATATTTTTTTGAGGGTAGATGGGCGGCGGGGACTTTAGCCTTTTCTAACTCAAAGTGTTTAATGTTTAGTCTACTTTAAGGAACACTAACTTATTGACGCAACTTTTAAAATTTTTAATGATGTTTATGTATGTGTATTAGGGTGGTACTTAAAAATATCAACATCTAAATTTTGTTTGGGGCACTCCTTTTTTGTGATACTTAAAAAATAAAGACATCTGAAATTTTACAAATTTAAAAAAAATTTAAGAATCGCTACCAGGATTTGAAAAGAATTTTTTTTTTTTTAATTGCGAAAATTCGACAAAACGTTGACTTTGGCCAGTTATTACTCAACGTATTGAAACTTATTCATATAATTCTTAAACTCGCTGAGTTATCGCGGGTTAAAGTCAACTTTTTTCGAACTTTTGCGATTTAAAAAAAATTTAATTTTTTCAACCCCTAAACTTTTTTTAAGTTTTTAAGTTTTCATGTATGTTTTTATGTTGTACAAAATCATTTTTAGAACAAAAGGAAGGGGCGCCAAATAATGTTGATATTTTTAAGAACCACCCTAGTGAGTATGTTATACCATTCATCTATCAATTACTGTAAATTAATCAATTGTTTTAAAATTAAATTTGTAAATCTGTTGAGTAAAAATTTATTTAGAATTAAGAAATTTTTGATTTGATTACTTAACTTTCTTCGTAATAATTTGCTGTCTTTGTTGCATAGAAATGTTCATTTGACCTTTTGCGTTTATTTTCCTCATACCTTTTTTTTAGATACAAACCGTAATAACCAATATTTTTTTCTTAATTTCCTCGTTCGCTGCTCTGTACTTCTACTTCCTATCCTTCGTTTATGCATTCGTTTATAAATTTTGGCCCGATTTTTTATTAAATTACCTATGTATATACATATATAAAATAAAAATCCTTAACGTAAAAAAATATGTTAACTGTTCTTGATTTTTAATAACAAAATATGTCAATATTTTTTTGGTATTCGCCCTTTGCGTTAATTTAACTATTGAAATCCAAATGCAATATCAACTATTTTGTCCAAATTCAAAATTTGTAACACAAAAAGTTTTTCAAATTTACCGCCATCTATCAGGGTGAGAAGGGACGCGATGTGCGCGCTCCCAACGAGATCGTCGCTTGTACGACTTGTGGCGGTAGCAGCAGCCCGTGCACACACTCGGCCAACAATGGATGCGCAACAGAGGTAAACAGAATAGTAAGCTTGGTATTGTAAGTTCTAAAAAATATTTATTGAATCATATTCGTTTTTTTGGTTATCGAAAATTATGTACACATTTAACTTAACTGAACTCATGGTCAGCTTTGCCACTCTCCCCTTACACTTTTGTCCGCACTTCTTTTTCTAATAGGCGGCATACACGGTGCGTTTGACTCGCGAGTCATTTGTGTACGTGTTGACTCGTCTTCGACTACACACAACCGACTCACGAGTCAGACGCACCGTGTATGCCGCCTATAAGCGTTGTTTGCATTCTATTCGAAATGTTTGTTTTGTACTATGAAATCCAAAATTCGATTACTCCCTGCGGGTGGCAAACGTGCGTCATCGTTTTTGGCACTCAAACATCAAATCGGATTATGCCATGCCATGAAAAATGTACAAAAATCGTCCCCACTAAGCTGCAAAGTCATAAGCTGTATAGACTAAAAATTTTGGTCACGTTTTTTTTCATGTGCATGCTTGCTCGCAGTAAAGGCATCTTTGATGCTATGCATTTACAGTAGCGAGTTTGACCTATATATTAATGCGCCAAAATGGCATGCCTGGATTATGTGGCACTATTGGTAAGATGGAAATGTCGAAAGTGCAGTGAAATTTAGATGGGAGTAATAAGGCTAAGTTGGGTAACGAAATGTTTGCTGAAAATAAAAAATAATTTAATCGATTACGACTTTTCATTGCTAATTTTCAATACACATAAATATTATTTTTATTAGGTAGTCCAAATTTAAAAAATTACTTAAGAAAATTGCTGTACATAAATTTAAAAGCCAAGTGACGACTGAGCGTCACCTCGAGAGGAAATTCTGGAGGTATTGTTGAGTGCAGATCTTTTGGGAACCTGGCCCCCATTTATTGCTTCTGACTGGCCTTTTACATCTGAGGAATTTATAGATGGTAAAAGAGGTAACTGTGTCTTTCCAGCCTTACCACAAATCTCCGGGAAGAACCCTATTATCTCCGCCGATTCTTAAGATACGACCTTACATAAATTGAGAGCAATGAGGGAATCAGGCGTGCCAGATTTTTCGTTTTCGTTCCTTAAAAATAAATGTACATGAAATGTAAAAGTGAATGCGTTTGTTCTCTTTTCTGCTATCAGACGGTGAATACTCAGCTGTTACAAGTGCTCTCATGTTATCACCTACGCTGATGATATCGCGCGGACGGTAATGGAAAAGCGCCCGCCCCCAAGTTTTATGCGATCTAACATTATTAACTACCAATACTACTTTGTAGAGTTTCTGGTTGAACTGAGTACAGCTAGTACAGCCTAAGACTTTATGACCTTCATCGCAGGACGAATTGGTTTCTATGAAAAGGAGTCTCTATTTCGGTATATCTACTTCCAACGCTGAATCAAGGTAACCCCAATAACCAAACTGTTCTCGAGAGAATCCCCAAATCAAGAGATTCATTACCCTTATTACGTATTGCTTCATTCCAAAGGTAAGCATTGATTTCTATGAAAAGGAGTTTCTATTTCGGTATATCTACTTCCAACGCTGCATCAATGTAGCCGCAATAACCAAACTGTTTTCGAGAGAATCCCCAAATCACTTAGGCAGAGTAAAACATTAGTTACAGCGTAGGCACCCAGCAAGATTACTCCGACGAAAGATATGTTCGCTCTTCGTCTTATTTTTAATTGTAGATTCTGAACAATGCTTTTTAGAGGCAAGACCCTTTCGCAGTGCACCCCTAAGTCCAAAGTATTTTTGCAAAGCAATTTCGAAAAAATTAAAATTTTTGGCCGCCTTTTACATTTTCGGTGACACCTACATAAAAAGCCTTTTTAAATACATAGTTCTACTAGAATAATCGAAATACTTCCTTAGCAAAAGTTTGATGAATTTTGTTGGGCTTTAATTTAATTAACTGAGATCTGGTAGGTAAATACTAAAACTGGGTCAATAAACTTTTGAATAAAAAAAGTTGTATCCCCGAGTTAAGAATATCGGTATATCAAACTTTACAGCCAGATCGTAAATTCCGAACATATAACGGAAAATGTAAGAGAGCAAGCCCTACGTTCGGCCAAAAAAATTAGATGTTTCGAAATTGCCCTGCCAAAATATTTAGCCACACATTTGTACCTTCTACCAAATGTGTTTTAACATCTGTCAAATTTCTGTTTTAACTTTGTCACAGCAATTCTTTTAATACTCATCTGATATAAACTACTCAATTGACCTTCTTATTTATATTTCATTTCTCTTACAGACTTGCTTCGTCCAAGTGCGCAAAAAGGAACCGCCACATCCTATACGTATAGCAAAAACAATCGATGTCATCGCTCGAATTACATTTCCAACCGCCTACGCAATTTTTCTAATATTTTTCTTCGTACACTATAAGGGATTTTCATAAGAATTAGTGCAATGGAAATCGTTTAGTCAACTAAAGCATAAATTAATATATTCACTTACACATACACATACATAATTCTAC